CGAACTTCCCGACCTCAAACCTTGTGGGCGGGACTAAGTTCGGAATGGCACCCAGGCTAAAACTTAACCCCCACCCCAAGAAGAGAAACTTTCCTTATGGGGACCAGTTGTTGGTCCCCACAAGTACCTATGAGTCCCCAAAATATAGCATATTCCTAGGAAATTGTCCCCACCAGGTATTAAAGACATGGCCACACACACACACTCACAGAGTTACTATGGAGGGTTTATTGACGGTAATGAGTTATGGATGAAGGTAACCAGAGGCTGTACCGGACTAGAGCTGGAAGAGTTCATGTGAGCATCAGCTGCAGTTATCCTCAGCGGGCGTGAGCGTCTGCACACTCCAGGTGCAGACAAGAGAGTTAACAGGTAGACGCCTCAGATCCAGCAGCGCAGCAACGAAAACCTCAACCTGACTCTGAATCTGTAGTGACTGAATACAAGCCGGCAGGGAGGAGCTAATTGAGGGAGGCTTTTGTAGAGAGGCTATCAGGTGGAGTGAGTCTAGACTAATTAGTGCTAAACAGGTGTGACTAATTGGTGAGGGAGTGAGGCTGAGCTGTGTGAGAGAAGGAGGTACTGGGAAATAAAAGGAGGTGATGGCCAGGCCAAAACAGAACCATGACAGTTAGTTAGTTAGTTAGTTAGTTAGTTAGTTAGTTAGTTAGTTTATTAATCCGTGATAGAGATATTTCACTTGTCCATTAGCAAAAATAAAAACATATAAAATAGGATAAAAAAAAAACTAAATTAGATTGAAAAAAATAATAATAATAATAATGATTAAAAAAATTCAGTCCTTCAAGAGGAAGCCGGGACAAAAGATCTTCTGTATCTCTCCATTCTGCTTCTCACAGAGGTCAGTCTTGAAGTAGTCTTTATTTCAGTTATTGTACGTTCCACTTTCGGGACAATCATCAATACTTTTGACTGAGAGGGCTACTCATGGTTAGACAAAATGCCCAAAGGGGTATGCAAGTCAAAAAAGGTTGGAAAACACTGACGTAAACCATCAACAAACTCCTGTTGTTTAAAAAGTTGAAACAAAAATTTCCCTTTGACTTAATTCAGTACATGTGACCCAAACTGTTATAATAAATTATGTATTTTGTCACAATACTAAAGCCCAAGTCATACAATAAAAAAAAAAAACAAACAAAGAAGCTTACTGTAATGTGTAAAGTTTCGAATTAAAGGAAATAATTTCAAATGCATTCTCCCTCATTAGTATTCTAATAGTTACCAAAATTATTTTCATAATCCCAACTTGTCTGAAACAGCAAAAATTTGGTCTGATTTAATATCCCTAACTGGACTGTTATAAAATTAATATTTTGTCATAATTTTTCATTTCATAGAGACGTGTTCTTTATTTTCTCTTAACTTTAGATTGCCCTGAAATGCGCTGATATCTGTAACCCATGTCGGGAATGGCAGATGAGCAGGCAGTGGAGTGAGAGAGTGTGTGAGGAATTTTATAGGCAAGGTGAGTAAACGTAATGACGCAAATTACACTAAAGATACTTCTATTGGTGCTTTTGAATGATAAAAAATAGAGGGTTTCTAATGAAAATGAAGTCATGGCTTACAGATTTGGGTTCTCTTTTATAAAATATTGTAAGAACTACAAAAACCGGAAAATGGAATATGTAAAAAAATAAACAACTTGATTTATAAAATCATGTGCACAAAACAGAGCAATTTTCCTTCATAGATAAAAGCTGTATCTTAAAGTTATCGTCCAAGGCTCCACCTCATGTTCGACCATCTTCACCAGGCACTCCTCTGAGGGCCGCTATCCTGCTGGTTTTAGAGGTTTCTCTGCTTTAGCACAGTTGATTCTGATGATTGCAGTTCAGCAAAAGCCTGTTAATCAACTATCAATGTAAATCAGCTGTGCTGGAGCAGAGAAACCTCTAAAACCTGCAGGAAAGGAGCCCTCGAGGATTGACTTTGGGGATGCCTGATCTTCACACATTTATGCAAGCATAAATGGTCCATGCTAAAGTGCCAAATCAGTGTATATTTTTTGTTACAAAAGCCAGCTGATCAAGTCTATTTAATGGTTACCATGGTAACCACAAGACAGCAAAAAAAGCAAGGATTAACTGAGCTAGAAATATTGCTGGTGATTGAGGTGGAGATTCAGATAAATTGATTTGGTGGCAACAGTAAATAAAAGGAAGCCTCATTAATGACACAATCAGAGTCTGAAGTACACTGATTCTCTTAACAAGGACATCCGGGCAGCGTTGTAGCTACTTACTGCTGACTGTAATACGTCTAATTGATGGATAAAATCACAGAATGATTTTGTTCCTAAAAGTGGCTTCAGTCATATTAATGAATTGTTGACGATGTTTAACACCTGTGGGGGAATATTGTGCTAATAAGAGCCAGAAAGACACACAGAGTGGTTGACAGCTTTCACTGATTTAAGGCTGCTGTCTGGTTGCAGTGCCCGGGATGACTGAGAATTTTCAACAGCTATTATAAAAAAATATATATTTTTTTTAACTATTAAACTAAGTGTTTCCTAATCGTTCACAATTTTTTGTATCTTTAATAAATCTGACAGCACATTAAGCCTCAGCCATTTCATATTTTATATATCAGAGTTACTGACCTCTGTTTAACACCTGTGATGAACCTGTGGGTTGGTCTCTTCAATACTGGACCCGTTCAGAGCATAAATCCATGAGCACCGCTCTATGGAATCTGACCAACTGATAACATCGGTCATTGGATGACATTGGTCATCCCTGAAAATGCGTCCTCTCCTAATTCTGCTCATTTACAAAGTCTCTGGCTTAATCATAGCATCCATTATGCACAGGTGGTTTGGAGGTATTTAAATGTTTAATCACATCACACCATTAGCCTGATTAAACCAGACTAAATGTGAGAGTAAATGTGTAATTTAGCCCGGCCCTGATGAATGAGACATCGGAAGATTGTTGATGAGGAAAAACCCATTCTCTTTCAAACCATGTCTGTGCCTATTGGCCAACACTCTGACCAATGAGCGCAACTGACTGTGACGTAGTAAGCACGACAGAAAGCTGGTGGGGGGAGTGTGAACAAACAGCGAATACGACCTTCTTAAAAATTAATGAGCGTAGAGCCTCTTCCTGCTCACGTTTATCCCAAAACCCCAAGTCTAAACCTTCCAAAACTGATTCCAAAGCTGAGTCAAACGAGAACTGTTCAATAGTTGTTGCCATCTTCCTTGTTGTGCTTTCTCCAGCATCGCGCAGCTTTGTCGTCACGCCTAGGGGCATTGATCGAGGCTAGACCAAACTCGCAGGAAAAAATAATTTTGACCGCTGTCTGGTGGGGCTTGTCGGGTGTTTCATTTATAAAATCTATTGTGCAACTCCTGATCATTAAGAAGAACAATATGACAAGGAGGATGAGGTGTTTGAATATTGTGCGGACTATTAAATTTAAACTGATTTGTGAACCTTTTTATTTTTCTTGAGACAAGAGCATATGTCACACTGTGGTTCCAGATCTGATAGAGTCAGTTGACAATTAGTTTCGTATTAAGTAAATAAAATAAAATAATTATTATGCAATCTAGCTTCAGTTTCCCACCTCAATCACCATCTTGTCCCAATTTTACGCCATCTTTAAACTGTTGGTACCCTCAAAAATGGGTCCAAGTCTCTAAGAGACCACACATGTATACTGGAAAATTAGCTCAAACAAAGTCTTCTTCTCCATAACAAAGAGAAATAAAGAAAAAAAAGTCAGATAAATAAATGTAATCTAACAAAAACTTCCAACTGTTTTTAATATTCTTTTTTTGTTTCTGCATTTTTTATTTTTTTATTTTATTTTATTTTTTCCTACTTGCTTTGATTCTGTTTTTTCTTCCTGTATTTTCATCATGTAAAGCACTTTGCATTGTCTTTGTACTGAATTGTGCTATACAAAAAAATTTGCCTTGCCTTGCCTTATGGCAAGTTTTTTTTTTAAGACCATGAACTTTGCGTGGGATTCAGTGAATGTAATTTTAGGCCACGTTATATGTATATGCAAGATTCATAGATGAGACCCCTAAAGATTTGGATCAAGATTCTAAGTTCTTTGCTCTAATTAATGAACTTCAAAGCAAATATGTTTTTTTAAATGTAATTCCTTCTATATATTGATGTTCTGTATCTGCTGTTTATTCTGGTTGCAAATACTTTTATAAATGCTGTCTTTGTTAACCTGAAAGGTGAGCTGGAGAGGAAATTTAACCTGGAGATCAGTCCACTTTGTGACCAACAGACAGACTCTATTCCAGCTATCCAGATTGGTAATATCTGTTTAATATTCATTACTGTCTAACAAAAAGACTTTAAAGGGGTCATAGAATGCAAAACTGAATTTCCATTGTCATAGATGAATAACGATAGTTCAGTGAGAACTCCTTTCTTTGCAGATCTCACAATTCTAAACCTCAACCATAAAACAAATGAATTCAGACGAAGCACGAGTTGACGTAAACTCGGGGAAGTTGCCTTATTTGGTTCTGGCCTGTACTTTTGTCATGCCCGGAAATTGACATACAGACCAGCCCACTGGTTCATTATCATAAATGCAGTGTTCCAGGCTGCAAAGAGAAAGGGGAAACTTTTCACAGTCTTTCCAAGGATCCGAGGACACAAAAGGCATGGATTACTTTTGTCTATCAGAAGATCCCTTACCATGCTTTGCACGGGCTGCGGCTACATCACCGGGTTGGGTTCGGTTGCTCCTTCCTCTGCTGGCTCCCTCCTCCCGTCCACCGGAGTTCCTGGAGCTGGCGGCTCGGTTCTGCTGCACCGTATTTGACCAAAATAACCTGATGATTTTGAAATTCCCCCCAACCCTTTTTTTTAGGTATGAAAAGTAGGACATGTCCAGGAAAAACAGGACATCTGGTCACCCTACCATATCAACTATTTGATCTTTCAGTGAGTGAGTGCTTGTTGCTATGATGTGTCTTTGCTCAGCAGCTTTGCTTATTGTAAACCAACCAATCAGTTGACAGCTTATCTAAATTTTCATGAGTATACCATAAAAGGAAGAAAACCTGTCGTTTCATTTTAGGGCTTTTAACCAGGCTTGCATTAGGGCTCATAAAACAGCAAATATGCCATTTTCAGCCCAACCAATGTTACACACCCTATTCAGAGACCTTAAAGACCAGCACCAAATACCCTATATAATCATTCTATGACCCCTTTAATATCCAAAAAAATATTTTGCTTTCTGATGACTGAACATGTGTATTTATACTATTTGGTGTTTGTTATCTCTTTAGTTTTAGACTGAAATAAAGTGCCTTATTTTAAAGCAGATGTGGACCTGATTAAGGAAAGTAAAATGTTTTACAGGTTTTATCTCCTACATTGTGGAGCCTCTTTTTGAAGAGTGGCAGCGCTTCACTGAGCCCAGCGTGCTCAGCCAAATAATGATGGCCCACCTGCACAAAAACAAGGCCTGCTGGAGCCGCCTCAGATACGTACACACACCAGTAGAAACAAAAACTCACTCCCACACTGAGGAGCCTGAGCCTCAAGGAGGACATGAGGAAGCAGAGGACATCCCATAATGTCTCCCTTGTTGCTTTGCTGGGTTTTGATCTCCTTTTTACATGGAGGAAGGATGTTTTTTTATCCAAATCCATGTTTATTCTCCAGCTCGTTTGCTCCCACGGCTGGCTGCTCTTTACAGTTGGAGCACTGGAAGGCAGGGTGGCAAGTAAATAAGAACAGCTCCCTCTGCTGGAGCTGGGATGAATGAAGCATTGCCGGGGAACAAAAAGTAAGAAGATTCATTGAGGAGCACAATAATCGTAGTATAAAACAAAGAAAAATATTGACAAACTTTAGTCTGTACTCAAATAAAATGAAAAAGTTAATGAACTAAAAGGTTTTGGGTTTTGTCGAGATTTTTAATATTGGTTTGGTTTGCAAGCGACAGAACAAATAAAGGCAGAACTAGATGGTCAGCTGGACTGTGCTAAAAATATATGTATATTATCATTTTATTATTAAGAATGTACTAATAATCAAATTTTTAAGTGTCAAAATGCTTGCACTGTATTTGGTTTTTTTGTGTGTCTTTATCTCACTTGTTTACCTTTCACTGAAGTGCGTTTCTAACTCTTAAGCATCGAGTCGTTGTGTCGAGGTACTCTACACCGTAACATACAGCATGTTCTCCATTTAAGACTGACTCAGCTCATCGATTTAAATAATGACTCACCCTAAAAGTGGCTTAGGTCGGTGTTGCTGCCTTGATGTTTCATAGTCAGGCTGAATCATCGCGTGATGAGCCAAAAAACGGTTTCATCAGATTATAAGTTGTATAAACTTTACATACTGTGATGTATAATCCCAGCAGTTCACATGCCAAAAACCTTTTTATGTCTGTATTCTGTAACTCATTTCACTTTTCTCTAACTGAATGGATTTTAATCACAGCCTCACTTTAAAATCTCGTGCACAAAAAAGCCTTAACAGCTGCTTTATCTTTCATTGAAACATTTTTTTTTTTTTTTTTTTTTTTATGTGCTTCTCTGGACAGTAGGTTTCATCATATAAAAGTTTCTGCCTGCTCTACTTCAGCCATATAAGCTCCCTGAAACACAGACTCAGTACTGTAGTGGCTTGGCTCCCGGTTGATTATCATTAGCTCACTGCTTCGTTAACTGTCTACGTTTTTTTGGTTTTGAAACGCTTGTTTGTCATAGTTTGATGAAAAAACAAAGAAGCTTTCAATATGAATACGTTTGAAAAATGGTTTTGCAGTCATACAATGAAGAAGAAAATTACAATAGAGTTTGCATTTTGATTTCTGTTGTTTTTTCCATATTTAAAGTTAGCATGGTTAGCATTCATAGTTGTAAAAGGCCTAGATCAATGCTTCTGAAACTCATTATTGCAAGTACCGCCTCAGTTAATGATCTGTTTTTTAAGTACCACCGCTTCACCCACGTGTTTGAAATATGTTCTGACTTTTTCTCAATCAATTTTTTTTGTTATGTCTTTAACAAACAAGGATGCACTTTATTTGTGCTTTTCTAATTTGATTAATAGTTAATGTCATTAATAATAAATAGCCTGATTGGTTTCACATTATTTAAAAAATCTCACTGGGTTTCAGAACTTTGAATACGGTAAGTAACAAAATCGGATGAAAAGTTTCACATATTTTGTGATATTAAATGTACAAAAAAGTGATACAAAGTTGTTAAAAAAAGGCTATAAATAAATCTATTATTGCTTACACTCAAAGCCCTCATTAGTAAAGCTTATCTATTATGAAATTGGCTTTTTCTCAGCACTAATTAAGACGCGCCACTAAATGGCACACAATAATTGCATCAAATATATTTTCAAACAATGGTATTGATTGATGGCCTGATCATTTAAAAGTATCAGTCTCTATCTAGGTAGTGCTTGAGGGTTTGCATACATTGCATTTCTTTCCCCGATTAGCAATACTTGATGCTATAACTGTCCATCCCTACTGTAGAATAGATCGTTTCTCAGTGCAATTTTAACGTCAGTCACATTTACATCTTGACCTAAGAGGTAAAAAATATATATATCTATAAGTGGTATTTAATCAGTTTGAGAACCATTTTCCTTGAACGAATGTAAACCATTACGTGCTCTCCGAGTATGAAGGGCTGCTATTTCCAGAACCAGCATCTTTATTAAGAGAACTTTGAAGCTTATGAGGGTAAAGTAAAACAAGTTCGCTGTTATATGTTCAACCCTTCTACCCTAAAAAAAATAAACTGTTAGGAAAGTAGCGCCGGATTAAACAGCAGACATTTTCCTATAGACAATTAAATTTTCTCTTAAAGTGCTTCCTGTACCTTTGAAACATCACTTATTCTGTAAATAACTCAATCTCTCAAACCTGACCATCAACTAAAGCTCAAATGTCAGTTCGGAAAGTCAGAGGTCTCTTTTCAGAGTTTTAAATTCCAATATCCTGCTTCATATAAAACATAGTTAAAATGAATATTCCTTTTATGACCAAAAGTGTAAAAATAAGAGAAATTAATTGTTGCAAATCCCACTGGCAACCAATCCCAGTGGGATATTAACTGAGTCTATGGTGTGTTCACTGACTGGAAAACCATCAGATTGTTGAGTTTCTCACAGTTCAGAGCCAATCAAGCTAAAACTCACCTAGCTCTGGTCACCAGCCAATTTCTCTGTGCATCTGTATATTTTTTACTTCACTTGATGTCACAGTATATGCTATCTTTACTATCTGTAAACATTTACTAAAAAAAAAAAGATGTTCATGTATAATAAATGTGTAATAAATGTGTGCACTATGCCTGGTGGACATGATGCTTCCAGCAGCAGATAATTATATATTTGTAAATACAAGTATAAAGTATGTGTATTTTGCTGACCTTTATTAGGTATATATTCCAGAAATTATTAGATCTAAGATTTGTTGCAGTGCGATGTACACTGCAAATGCAATCAGAGGAACTTTATGAATCCAAGCAAACATTTCAGCTTTAAAAAGAAACGCTTGTTAAAATGATAAAAGTTGGATATTGCCTCCTTTAAGAGGTGAAGTGCAATAATTCTGTGTATTTTAGTTTGCATCATGTGATTTTTTTCAATGGCATCCTGCTTGCTTTGCTAAAAGTTCCACTTTGTTTTAAAAGCAATGTTGCAAAGATGAAACAGATAAAACAAATGTGTTTATAAACTGTAACGGGCTTAACTTAACCGTTTTTGAACTCCAGAAAGTGACCCCAAAAAGACTGTTTTGGTCCTGTTTTTTAAGTTTCCAAACCTGAAAGCAGCTATGAACTGGGAACAAAGTGATGCATAAATTTCTGAATATGCTACCTAAGAAGTGCTGAAGATTTTTCTGTACAATTCATATATTTACTGTCAGTGCCAACCTGGTCCAAACAGTAAATCATCAGGCTGCCTTGTTTTTGAATACCTCTCAGAACGAACACTGTTACAGGGTAACTGAGCCATACTAGGTTTACTTTATATTATGTACTGAATGTCTACGTACAGGTGTGATATGAACTCATTCATCTTAAAGTGTACCAATAAAATGCGCAGGTCTAGTATGAAAATATAGCAGTCAAATATGTAATTTGTTGCCATGGTGTAATGAGCTAAATCTGTAAAAGTTTTTCTTGCACATTAATAGCAGAGATTATGTGTTTTTCTCACTCAAAAATAAAACCTAATGAAAAACAATTGGCTAATATATCTATGCTCTAAGATTTTATAAAGCTACAACCACAAGTTCTAATAGATTTTATTGGCTTTGTGTTTCAATTAGTTTAATGTTTTCATGTTTTTGCAAATAAAGATGGTAAAAATGGTGACACGCATTTGTATTTGACCTCCTATGCTTATATTTTATAGAAACAGAACTTCATTTAGTCACAAGTCTTTTAGTACCACTTGTGCACATCTGGAGCCCTGAATGTTTGTCAATTTTTTTGTCCATTTGCAACAAAAGCTTAAGCTCACTCTTGTTGGCAGAGTCTCTGTGACATTTTTTTTTAACAGGTTATATGTCTAGATTTTGACTCGGCCATTTCCTTTTAGTTTATTCCATTCCATTGAATCGTTCTTTTAAGTTTTATTAGGATTATCCTGCTAAATTTCTGAACCTTTGCCCCAAACTCTCGTCTTTTGTAGTCTCTAATTAGGTTTTTATCCAGGCGTTTTCTGTTCATCTGTCTATTCATTCATTCACAAATGAATTGTTAATCATGTTATCTGAATGGCTCACCTGGTTTCTCTTTATACTTCTAGGCACCTGTAAACAGAATAATAAATAATCAAGGTAAATAATGTCCCTGTGTACTTATTTGTGTTTACAAGTAGAGGCTTCAACAGGGGGTAGGTGCATAAATCAAATGGCCACTAGATGGCAATAAAGCAGTTCTGGTTACCTCCTATGAGGGAAATGAGAAAGAGAGACCCACCATTCCTCATGGCAAGGGGTTGGGGAGGGGCTCTCCACATTGTTTTGTTTACAGTAAATAATAGTTAGGTCACGTATGAATCAAAGTGATGATTTGTGTGATGTAACCGTGGCTTGGGGCTGTAAAGTTTATGTGTCAACAAAAAACTTTGGAGGTAAAGTTGTGTTCGGTTGTAGTTTGCAGGTCAAACAACAGAGAGGATGAGGATGAATGAGTCACAGTGTTGACTCATGAAACTGAGATGATCTCCAAACTCTTTCGGCCTAAAAAAATTCACGTCTCAAACAAAAAGGGTCTTAAAACCATGAAAACCTCTGACATACAGAGTCAAAGTTCAATTAAATCTAATGCACGAGGGAGAGCTTATAGGGTGGTGTTCTGAACTGAAAAGTTCTGCAGCCAGGTTGTGTTTCCCTCATTTGCATGGCATCGATTTGCAATGCAAATCAGGTGTGTAGATTGTGTAAGACGTGGAGTCCACTAATAAATCACATTAAACAGCAGTGAATGGTTTCTCTAAACTTTATTTTATGCAGTGTTACAGCCAGAACTGTTTGACGCTGCAGAAACACTTTCTGTTGTTCTCTGCGAATTTAGTTTTTAATGACTGTAGGCTAACAGTTACAACCACAGAACAAAACAAAAAACAAACAGATTTATAGATTTTAGAAAACAAAGTTACGATTATGACCTTAATCTTTTCATTGGAGCATGTCATCAGGTGCCTATTTGAGCTCTGCCTTTCAGTCCCCCCCCCTTACACACAAACACACGCCCATACAATTTACCAGAGTCAGTCAGCATTCATCCTGCATGTGTCACTGTAAATATTGACACTGCAAACAGAGCCCCCTCCTTAGCCCCTTAAAATTACACTCATTCAAACGCTCCCTTGGTAAAAACACGCACTATCAGACCACTACACTGATAAGTATCTACCCCGGATTGTAACCCTGCCATCATCTATAACTGTGAGACCGTGCGTGGGACTTGCACCTGACTAGATGTACACTTTTCTACTTAAAAAAAGAGAAATGTCAACTGTATTCTGTCTTGGCCCTGCAGCTTTAAGATACAGAGTGAAGGCTATGTGCAGAAAGTGAAAAATGAAACTTGTGGCATTCATATAGCGTGTCTTTCTCAGTTTGTATGTCTGGCTGCTGTGCTGTGCACCGAAAGGGTTAATCTCCTCTTGTTAGTCAGCATCCTCTTTCTGTATTTTTTTTGTTTTGCTCCCTGGCTGCATATTTTGTGATACTTAATCTCCAGCTTTGACTAACCAGGACTTGGAGTGATCTTAAATCAATGTTTGATCAGCACCAGAGCATCAGAACAGCAGCTAGGACAGTCTTACCTTCTCTATGACATAAATAAACATTTCAGAATCAGGTAGAATTTCCAGTTTCCTCTAATTCATAGCCTCCTATATACTTAATATGGACTAGTAGACCAGAGTAATGAACTAGTATGTTCCAGCTCTGTTGTCGACCTTTTTATTTACCTTAATATCTCAAACAGGCCAACAAGACTAAGGACTTCTTTTAAAATAAAATCCAGCCGATGAATTGTTTTTCTCTGCACCTGATCAATTTCACAATTTATTTAGTCCATAAAAATATGTCCAGGCTGTTAAACGTGCAAACAAATGTCAACATTTAGTGAAGGACCAAGACCAAAGAAGCCTTGCACTTTCCTAAAATGACCCCAATTTGAAAATGCACTCATTTATAATCTCATCCTTTACTGCCGTATGTCATGTACTGATATTGGAACATGTAGAATGATGTAAAAACAAAACAAAAAGGATTTGAAACAATTTAGCATCCTCTAGAATTTTATACTCCACCAGTTTTCTTAAAATGTTTAAGAGACCCTATCTTCTCGGTGCATGTTTCACACAGGAAGATCACTGGTGGCGCTACGCCCCCTAACTCTATTTCCTGTGTAAATAACCATCAATTCATGTTTAAATAGTCAAAATAATGTCAATTTAGTAAATGCCAAAATGTGAGAAACAGTCTTTTTGCAGATTTGATCAATAGTTTCTACAAATCCGTACCTTCACACACAGTAATATCATTATATCTTTAAATAACTTGTGAAAATTTTAGATGAGCATTTTGGATATGTGAATCAAGAGCATGAGTTAAATTTAGAGTCCACCTGTGGATGTATTTTGAAGACAGGCCATAAACACATTGCAATAATCAAAATAAATCTGGTAAGTGTAAGGTCGACAAAGACGATGCAGTTAAAGTGGTCATTACAAGCTGTAATCATCGTGTCAAACTGTGGGAAGAGCTGAAAAGAGTGCATGTGTAAGAAGGCCTTTAAACTTCTCTGTTACACCAATTATGTCAGGATTATTGGGACAAAACTCAAGAAAGCTCTGGTGAGAACCCAGTGGAAGAACACCAACAAGTCCTCGATCTAAGTCCTATTGCCTCAAGAAATGTTCGTCCAAATATAAAAAAATATATATATCTAAAGATAAATCTCTTAGAAATGCTGACTTTTCTTTGAATAGGAAAAATAAAAAAAATGACACTGCTCATTCAAATAATTGGTTAAGCCAAACAATGGAGA